TGCAGATATCGGACATGCCTCAGCTCCACAGGGCTCCAGCTTGCTTATTCTGCACCCGGGCAGGTTCTGGGAGCACTGCTGAAGGCGCGGCGCTCGCTGTACCATGCAGCCAACGCACAAAGCAACAGCGATTGCTTCTGGAGGGGAGCTGGTACAGTCCTAATATACTTGAAAAACAGAACTATGAAACTACCTGGGCCATCCCCCTGCTAGTGTCCGGGGTGGCTGGGGGCGTGGGGCAAAGTCAGTGTGGGAAAAATGAGCAATGAGTCAAGAAAGCTAATCCCAGCCCTATTGCCAATTCACTTTGTAGCCTTGAACAAGCAGTTTCACACCTGATTCCACTTCCCATCTGTAAACCGGAGATATTTATCTACATCTCTGAAGGGCTGTGAGATTTAATTTGTTAATGTTTGTGCAGTGCTTTGAACTTGTAAATGCCAGGGATTTTTTTTTTAACGTCTACCTTGATTTAACCATGTCCTAATCTAGGTTTTCATCTAGCATCAGCTGATTTCACCATATCTTGACAGCAAGACAGAACATAAAGAACAAAACCAAAGTTAAAAAAAAACCCAAACCAAAAACCTCAAAACCTAATTACATAAGCAATCCACAAATACCTACTGGTGTGTGCACATTTATTGCATTCGCTTTGTTTATAACCAAGTGTGCAAGCTGTGTGCGTTATTTTTATTTAAAGATGTGCCCACTTCATAAATGGCTATCAAAAGAAAACACTGCACCCCAAAACCTGCAATAGAATGTGTGCTCGTAAAAAGGCTGTTGCTTTGAAAGCGCTTCTACAGAATGCTTGAAAGGCGCAAGTCCCCCCAAGTTGATTCTGCTGCCACCACTAGACGGCATGGCAGCAAGGAAGTGCCTGCCAAAGGAGAGAAATGGAGTTCTGAGGTATATAATGAAAGGGGAAAGTACAGTCACGTGTTTAAAAAAAGCATAAATGGCTTCATTAAAATATATACATCCCTCGGGGAATTCTCAGTCTGACAGTTCAAATGAGAGAGGCTGAAAGAAACAAGCGTGATTTTGATGGTGGGGAAAGAATCTTTGGGGCTAGCTGAAACAGAGAAACACAGACCTGTACAAGAACCAAACTTTCAAGCAGGGACGTGAACAGGTAACCGGTAATCCAGTAAGCATCACCCTTACCGGAGCAGCCCCCTGGTTAACTGGTACCTACTCACTGCTTGCAGTGGATAGAGGGCTGCTCCAGCCCCATGTGGGGGTCAGAAGCTGGCCCCCGCGCTCCATGTGTGGGGCTATCGGCTCTTGCTGCCAGCTCCCCCATGCAGGGGGCTGGGAGCAGACAGCAGCCGCCCCCGCGCAGCTGGGGGGCTGTCAGTGGCAGCTTCCCATAGCTGGGGGGCTGGGTTGGAGCAGTCCCCCGCTGGGATCCCAGGCTTAATCAGTTAACTGGCTAAACCTAGCATTTAACCAGTTAACTGATTAACCAGGATTTTACATCCTTACTTTCGAGCTTCACACCTCAGGTTCCAAGCGAAGCAATGTCTATAACTTTAGCTCTGTTCCCAATCGAGGGTGAACTATGCCACACCCATAAAACTCAGCATATTTCACGAGCAGCAGGCTGGAGAAGAGAACGTTCCCTGCAGGTCAAGGTTGATCTCACTGGCAAGGCAGTGCAAGGGAGCTCACATTGCAGTTGTCTGAGCCACACTCGTTTGCAGTTAAATATAGACCTTCGCTTTCCGGAATTATTGCTCCTCTTGACCTTCAGAGTATCAATATTCAGAAAGGGGGGGGGGTGGGAGAGAGAAAAAAAAAGAAAGGAAGACCTTCCAAATCTATTGTCCGAAACTCGAGCCTAACAACTAATAAACTGTCCTGGGAGAAATTCCAAAAAACGGTAAAGACGGACGAATTGAATTACAAGAAACCACAAGCAGCGTTCTGGAAATCCAGAATATACTCATTAGTCCCTTTGATACACATACACTATATATAGGCACACATAAGCACACATAGGGCCTGATTGTGATCTCACATACGCCAGTTTGAGACCAAGTTTAAATCCATAAGAATTACAGCTAAACCCAACAACACTGTCAACCGAAACCATCACAGATATTCCTTAAGCAGTTTCAGAGTTTCATCCTGAGTGGTGCAGCAGTGGTACCAAACATGTGATTGCAGGATCCTTTTTTACGCACAGGAACAACCACAAACAAAAGTGGTGAGGGAAGGACAGTTCTGGGTGTGTTTGCATGAAATTGATAAACATGGCATGTTAGTCGATCCTCATAATTTAACAATACTATGGCAGACACATCTGCCTTTGGCACACAAGCCAGCCAGCCCGCCCTCAGTAAGGGTGCATCTACACTTAGCTCGAAATAAGCTACGCAATTTGAGCTATGCAAATTGTGTAGCTTATTTCGAGTTCATTTAGAAATAGCTTATTTCTTAATTTGGTGCTGTCTACCCAGGGCCAAATTTCTAAACAAACTGCTATCCCAAAACATTCCTTAATCCTTGTGGAACGAGGTTTACAAGGATGTTGGAATGGTGAGCCTGTTATATTTCAAAATAATGGGCGCACTCAAAAGACGTGGATAGCTATTCTGGGATAGATCTGCAGTGTAGTCATAGCCTAACTGTACAGAAGAGATGCCCGACTGTCATTCCGGGGGAAATGCAGGTGACGCATTTGGTTGAGGAAACACCGTGGGTCACTAGGGACATGTCTAGACTACATCCCTCTTTCGACAGAGGGACGTAAATTAGGCAGAACGAAAATGCAAAAGACGACAGGATTTGAATTTCCTGTGCTTCATTTGCATAATGGTGGCCACGCATTCTTTCGAAAAAGGGCTTTTCGAAAGTGAAACTACCGTCTAGACACAGTTCTTTAAAAAAAAACTACCCTTTTTTTGAAAGAACCTGTAAACCTAATTTTTTCAGGCATTATGGTTCTTTTGAAAAAGGGTGGGGTTTTTTTCCAAAAGAACCACGTCTAGACGGTGGTTTCACTTTGAAAAAGCCATTTTTCGAAAGAATGCGTGGCCACCATTATGCAAATGAAGAGCGGGAAATCTAAATCCCGGCTTCGTTTGCAATTTCGATTTAATTTACATCCCTCTTTTGAAAGAGGGATATAGTCTAGACATAGCAAAGAGTGTATAGGAGAACAAACCCCGCACTGAAATGTTCTTACAAATATCACATGAAAAGCTAAAATCTTTTAAGAAGAGTCTGCACCACCCACTTAAAAAACAGCCAGTAAGCACTTAATTGGACACATCAACAGCACGTTGGTGTTCTCCATGAGTGCATATCAGAATTGCTGGGAGTTGTGAGGACTAACTGGGTAAGGAAAACCCTTTGGACGATTGAGTTGGGTAAACTGCCTCCATTAGCAGCCAAATCCTTGAGATGAAGAGGCAAAGCACCAGCGTAATTCAACTAGAGCACTGTGCAGAATTATGCGCTACGAACAGAAGCAGAAAAATTCCTTTCTGTTTCCAGCGGTGATCAGCTTTGGCAAGTCACTAGGAAACTTGGTTATGCAAGCATGTAGTATGAGTCATAACATTGGTGGGTCTGAGACTATAGTAACATGCAAATGTACACTCCACGCAACAGCTCTGAACTCCTCCTTGGGTGGCTCCCTCGCTTTAGGCAATGTATCGACACATCAGAGATTAACATTTGTTTACAAAACCTCATGCTGCGTTGCAGGAGGCCCTAGAGTAAGGATCACTGCTCCATTGCAGTAGACACCGTACAAACACGTAGCAAAAGACAATCCCTGCCCCAAAGAGCTTACAGTGAGACATACTGCCATGAATGAGTATGGCAAACAATGGCAGGAAGGTGCGGAAGGAGGAAAAACACAATGAAAATAAGACCAAGTGATTACATCCACTTCCTACTGCACAAGGTGATTACTGATCATTAAAATCTTAAAATTGGCTTGTTTTTCTAATTCAGAAAACTGTCCCTTCCTAACTGAAGGAACGGCCAAACCATCAGGCATTTCAGCAGCCTTTATGTAAATGAGCCATGTTGCTCATTACTGCAACATCTCTGGACCACTTGTATCCTTTTCTAGTCCCCGGTGATGGGCTGGAACATGGCATGAAAAGCACCTGCAGCTACAATTTCCACTTTCATGCCTACGTAATCTCTTCTGCTTACAGCATACGATTCTGGGTTGTTTTAATATTTGATTGTTTACATGACCTTTCTCTTCCCTGTGATCTAGAACACGTCCAGCAGGAAAATACTAAACACCACAGCCCACATGCTAGACAGCAGACAGCTTGGATACACAGGGACTTGCTCAACCCTGCAACATTTGCAGGATGTTAGGTGGCCTAGCTGCAGATCTTCTCGTGAAGGGTTGGGCCTGTTGCTAGACAGAGTTTCCAGTTTGCCTTTGGCTGTCAACACGGGTTGCTCATAGCCAAATCCATTACCAGGAACTAACTTGATGTCAGATGCTCCCCTTGCACCAAAGCTGAGAGAAAACTGAATGGAGGAAAAACTGTTTCCTGGCAATTGAGCCTTTACAAGGAATACACACTTACCCCGACATGATCTCCGGGTTGTTCCCAGCTGCCAGTTTAGACACCAGAGAGAGATTCTGAAGGGAGCAGGCAAAGCATGCCGACAGCAGGCAGACTTCACTAGGAAAGTGCTTCATTTCTGCAAGGTTGATGAGCTGGGAGTTCTAACAACCACTTGCTACTCTGCTTATGTATTTAAATGAATCTAGCTTGCTCTGTTCTGTTCCCACCAACCTCCAGGGCGAGAACAGGTTTCTGGGCAGGAAATGTCTAATGTCTCTTCTACCACTCTGCCAATTGGACATGGGGCTGTACAAAGGCCAGCATGAAACAGGCGGTTTGTCTGTTTGAGGTACCATCTGCAAAATGGAAAGAGCTGCCCACCAGAAAGCAAAGATCATTCAGATTCCCATCTAGACAGCATCTGGATTAGCTTAAGGAGATACCTACCTTTCCATAACTGCCAGGCACTCCTTTCTCCATGTGAACCGACTGCCTCGCCGTAGTCTGAAAGTCCCAGAGGTAGCTGTGACGGGGGGAGGTGTCTGTCTCCATTCTGGCTCTTCTACTGGGACTGGAGCAGGCCTCATACTTAACGTAGCCCCTAAAAACAAGAATACAAATGGTTTCCTGCTGGACTGGAAATCTTGCTTCTCTTCTCAGCCCTGCTAACAAAGAAACAACTGACCGGTGAAGCCATTCACACCAAAGATAAAACACTAAACACACACACATTAAAGACACATAGGTCTAAATGCATCCCCAAACAGGCAAGAATCAGGAGTTACACTGCTGAAAGCAATGGAGTTAAACTGGCATACGTCAGAGGATCAAGCATGGAGTCTTCGTTATACCTGCTTCAAAAGAGCCAATTTCCCCTCATCAAGATGATCAGCTTTGTACAGAACGTCTGAGCTAGGCTCAGTTGGGATCCATTCCAGCGTTGCTCCTTGTTCTTCTGTCATGAACATAAGAACGGCCAGACTAGGTCAGATCAAAGGACCATCTAGCCCAATGTCCTGTCTGCTGACAGCGGCCAATACCAGGTGCATCAGAGGGAATGAACAAAACATGCAATCATCAAGTAATCCAACCCACCACCCACTCCCAGCTCCAGGCCTAGGGACACCATCCCTGCTCATCTTGACTAATAGCCATGGATGGATCAATCTTACTTGAACTTATCTAGTTCTTTTTTGAACCCTGTTATAGTAAAAGGGCTCACAACACCTTCTGGCAAAGGGCTGACTAAGCATTGTGTGAGGAAATACTTCCTTTTGTTTGTTTCATGGTGTCTATTAATTTCATTGGGTGGCCCCTAGTTCTTGTGTTATGAGAAATGAATACTTCCTTCCTCCGCACCAGTACATTTTATTGACCTCTGGCATATCTCCTCAGCCATCTCTTTTCCACACTGAAAAGTCAGTCTTATAAATTGCTCCTCATATGGCAGCAATTCCAGATCCCTAATCAGAGAAGTATCCACCATAGCTCCAACATCTCTTGCTTGAGTGGTAACAGCTAATTTAGACCCCATCTTTTTATATGTATCGTTGGGATTATGTTTTCCAATGTGCATTACTTTGCATTTATGAACATTCAATTATATCTGCAATTCTGTTGCTCACTCACCAGTCTTGTAAGGTATTTTTGTAACACTTCATAGTCTTCCTGGAACTTAATTATCCTGAGTAGCTTTCGTCTGCAAATTTTTCCACCTCACCATTTACCCCTTTCTCTAGATTAGATCATTTATGAATATGTTGAACAGTGCTGGTTTCAGGAGAGATCCCTGAGGGACACCACTAGTTACCTCTCTCCATTCTGAAAATGGACCATTTATTGCTACCTTTTGATTCCTGTCTTTAACCACCTTCCCTCTTATCAGACAGTTTACTTTGCTTAAGAACACTGGGTGAGGGACCTTGTCAAAGGCTTTCTGAAAATCTAAATACACTAATATCCACAGGATCCCCCTTGTCTGTGTGCTTCTTAACTCTCCTCAAATAATTCTAGTAGATTGACGAGGCACAATTTCCATGCTGACTCTTCCCCAACTAATCATGTTCATCGATGTATCTGATAATTCTGTTCCTTATTATAATTTCAACTAACTTGCCTGGTACTGCAGTTAGGCTTATCACCCCGTAATTGCTGAGATTGTCTCTGGAGCCTTTTAAAAAAACTGGTGTCTGTTTAGCTATCCTCCAAATAATCAAAAGCTGATTTAAGCGATAACTTGCATCCCACAGTTAGTAGTTCTGCAATTTCACATTTGACTTCCTTCAGAACTCATGGGTGAATACCATCTGCTCCTGGTGACTTATTACTGTTTTATTTATCAATTTGTTCCAAAACAGTCTCTGACAACTCCTCAGTCTGGGACAGTTGCTCAGATTTTCTTCTAAGAGGAATGGGTCAGGGTTGGGGAATCTCCCCCACATCTTCAGCCATGAAGACCGATGCAAAGAATTTATTTAGTTTCTCCACAGTGTTGGCCTTCTCCCCCTTGAGTGCTCCTTTAGAATCTCAATTATTCAGGAGTCCCATTCATTATTTAGCAGGCTTCTTTCTTCTGATTATCTTAACTTATTTTTTTTTTTGCTGTTACTTTTTGAATCTTTGTCTAGCTGTTCTTTTTTGGCCTTCCTAACTATATTTTACACTTGACTTGCCAGACTTCATGCTCCCTTCTATTTCCCTCAATAAGACTTAACTTCCAAGGATGCCTTTTTGCCACTAACTTCTTTTACTTTGTAATCTATCCCCAGTGGTACATTTTTGGTTCTTTGTATTTTTTTAATTTGGGGTTCACATTTAATGTGGGTCTTTATTAGGGTGTTTTTGAAAAGTTTCCATGCAGCTTGCAAGAATTTCACTTTTGGCACTGTACTTTTAAATTTCTATGTAACTAACTTCCTCATTTGTGTGCAGTTCCCGTTTCTGAAATTAAATGCCACAGTGTTGGGCTGCTGAGGTGTTTTTCCCGCCACAGGGATGTTACATTTTATTTATTATGGCCATTTGATTATGTTATGATAATTATTATCAAGCCATTCAACTATATTTACCTCTTAGGACTAAATCAAAAATGGGCTCTCCTCTTGAGGATTCTAGGACTAGCTGCTGAAAGAAGCAGACATTTAAGCTACAAAACTTGGTTTCTGCATCCTGTCCTGAGGTGACATGCACCAGATCAACATGTGGATAGCTGAAATTCCCCATCGTTATTAGATTATTTTTTAATTTTATTTTTATATCCTCTCTAATCTCCCTAAGCATCTCACAGTCACTAGCAGCATCCTGGTCAGATGTCAATAGCATCTCCCTTCTACTATATTCTTATTCAAGCATGGAATTCCTCTCTATAGAGGTTCTATGGTTCAGTTTGGTTCATTTAACATTTTTACTTCATTTGACTCTACACTTTTCCCCCATACAATGCCACTTCCCAACCAGGGAGGTCCTTCCAAGATACAGTAGACTTCCAATAATCCAGCACCGTGGGACCTAGGTGGTGCCAGATTATCGGATATGCTGGAGTATCGGTAGGTACTCCGGCGGGGGGCTGTGATGGGTCTGCCGGGACCTGCACTGCATCCAGGGGGTGGGCAGGGAACGGCGAGGGGCGAACCCTCTGCTGTTTTGCAGGAAGGTGGGAAAGCCCCAGGCAGCCACTGGGGACAGGCCAGCTGGGGAAACCCAGCTGCCGGCCTGCAAACGGCAACAGAGGAGAGAGCTAAGTCCCCGAACTTGCCCCGTTGTGGCTGCGCTCAGCCCAGCGCCGCCGCCAAGAGTTTCCGGGAGGGGAGTGGGCTTCCTACCCCCCAGATTACAGTAGTTATTGCCGATCAGGGGGGTGAGGGGCGGCACTGCGGGACCAACCCGGCAGCACCCCAGCTGCTCTGCTCTGCAGCTTCCCCAAGTCCGCCGCTCATCAGTTTCAGCGCCTACCACAATCTCGCAGCCCGCTGGGATGAAGGAGGCCGCTCACGCGACCTACCTCACTAGCCTCGGTTGCTCATGGCTGCTCTACGCTTTCGTTGATTGCTATACAAAATATTTTACCCTGTTAAATACCAATTGGTTGCCCCATCATTTTCAAAGTGGGCGGTTGGCAAACTTTTACCCATGTCTGCATGCAAATCGGGGCATTCTAATCCTTCAGAAAATATCTGATTGACAGCCCTTCAACTACAAAATTACGGGGTGAGCGAGAGCGCAGAAATGCTAGCTCCGCCCTCCCCCCAGGCTCCTGTCAACAAACCTCCCCATGACTAGGAGCTAAGAGCCGAGGCTGTCTCCATCTACTCATAAGCAGGCAATTTGTTAGCACGACTCTCTCAGAAATCAGATAAAAATGAAAGAAGGAATTTCAGTGATGCTTAGCGTCAAGGTAACAGCTGCAGAGCAAACAGAGCAAATTAGTGTGTCTAAAATGTTTCTTAGGTAAAAAGAAAAAATGCACTTTTCTTTACAGCATAAATCTGCTTCCCTGTAAATTAAGCACTGATACATTTCCTTCTCTCTCTATATATATAAAAAGTTTTTCCTGCCAGGCAATAGAATGGCATCATCCCACTTTCAGACTCTCTGGCCATGAAAATGAAAGGCCAGAGAGACGGGTGCGGGCGAGTGTAGCGAGCCGGGGGCACAGCCTGCTAGTTGAGTATAAAATGCTTTTACTGGGGGTGGGGAAGCAGGAGAGATAGTCTTGGTGGGTCGATTCACTCTTTTCTCTCGGGGAAATATCAGTAAACAGCTGCATCATGAAGTTAGCAGGTGCTGGAGAAAAGGCTTGAGAACTGGGGTGAACACAGGCCACCACCTCAAGCCATGCCCATGAGATCCACCACAAGGAAAAACCTATAGGAGCATCAGGTGCTTGGATCCCAACCGATGCTAAGGGCAGCGCTGGTCAGCATGAGCTCTGCTGGCATGGTCTCTGACGTGATTTATGGCAGCTCACAAGATCCGGCCCTAAAATCATCAGATTTTTAAGAGCGATATGGCTATGGTTTTGGCTGAGAACATCCACAAAGTTAGGACATAATTAAGTAAAAGCTCTGAGAACTGTGCCTTAGTATATGGCAAAAGGGAAGGCACTCTGTGGGTGTGTCTAAACGACACCCCTCTGACGGCAGAGGGATGTAAATTAGACACATCGAAAGTGCAAATGAAGCCAGGATTTAAATATTCCACGCTTCCCTTGCATAATGGCAGGTGCCGCTTTTTTTTAAAACAGGGCTTTTGGAAAAAAACCCAGCAGTTTAGATCCTGTACTCATTTTTTGGAGGAGTACAGGATCTTTCGAAATGGGGCATTTCTGTCGAAAATGCCCCGTCTAAACTGCTGGGTTTTTTTTTTTTCCAAAAGCCCCATTTTGAAAAAAAGTGGCAGCTACCATTATGCAAACGAAGTGTGGGATATTTAAATCCCAGCTTCATTTGCACTTTCGATGTGTCTAATTTACATCTCCCTGCCGACAGAGGGGTGTAGTTTAGACACACCCTGTACGTGAAGGGGATACACTGTGTGGGGTAAAGCGTGGGAATGCTCTGTTCTTAGAGCACACAGGACTAGCATCTCCTGTCCGCATCCAATGCCAGATGGGACTTTGCCCACATAAGGATCACATCTAGGTCTCAGAGAAATCAGTCTCCATGGCCTCTTCAGCGCTTGGACTCTGTGCTGAAATTGCCAGCTAGGTTACCACGTATATTTGTACTTCCTTTCCTCAATTTCCATCTTCTTGTGTGTCTGTTCTTAGACAGTGAACTCTTGGGGGGTTGGGACCATGTCCACTTGTCACAGCGTTTAAAACCAGAAAGCACAATTGGATAATCTGTTCCGACCTCCTGTAAATTTCACCCTGACACCACAGGCTCATTGGGACCTGCACTAAACCCATCTCATTTCACAGGTCACTGACCTCTTATCCCATGACAACTTTTGGTCATTTCTGAGCTGGGCTAGATTTTAACAACACACCTAGACAATGAAAGACTCCCTGCAGGTTTACAGACAAGCCCGTCATTAAGGTACAAGCTCCTGAGTGCAGGGATGTTTTCTGTGAAATACTTAGCACACTTGATGCGCTATAGAAGAACAATCATATCTCCCTCATCCCAATGCCCATCTTCTGGAGTACCCAGGATCTTACTTTTTCATAAGCTTTTCTTTTAGAACCAGGCAAGGGCTCCCTCGGCATTAAAATGATGGAAGATGCTCTATGCTGCTGACAGTAGGGCTGTGAAAAAGGTTTAAAAACAATAACTGTGGAACCGTTAAAAGTCCTAGTGGCTATATGGTTAACCATTTTGGGGGATCTTTGGCTGGGTGGGACTAGGGAGGGAAGGATGGGGAGGAATGCCCCCGCAGCTCCCAGGGAACTGGCTGTGGGGTGGCTTCCGACTCCACTTCTGGGGTGCTGGATGCGCTGCGGAAATTTAACCATAATGGAAATGGATAAGCTGATGCTTAATGGTTAACCCGTTAAACAATTACATCACTAGCAGACAGCTGCTTCTCTCTTTAGCCAGGCCACACACAGCTTTGTCCAACATGACTGTTACTGTCTTCCTATTGATTTATTGGCAGGAAAAAAAAATTAAATCTGGGCAGTCAGCACTCCACATTGTAGTCTTAACACATCATTTCTACAGTCTGCCTGGCTCTGTCATAGCCCCGAGAGAAGGTGCCAAAGTTACTCAGCCATGAACGTCTCACGTTGCCCCCTGCTCCCAACCAAACTAATCAAGCCAACCTTAATTACTTTCTTTATTTTAAAACATGAGCATGGGAAGATTTGTTAGATCAATGCAAGACTTCAGTGAGGCAGTAATGCTTAAAGTTGGCTCAAAATGTATTTATGAAGCACCAAACAAAACAGACACGGTACTTGCCCCCAAAATACCCCATCAAAATAAAAAAGTGTCATTGCTAATGAAAGAACTTCAATTTTGCACTGATTATTTCCTTATCCAAAATCTCCCTTCACCCTCCTCCGCTACTGCTTCCAGAAAGAAAACCACAAATGCTAGCACACAAAATCAGTTTTGCAGCATTATCATTAACTCCCATGCCTGTCCTTCAGAAAATCATTGATCATTATTATCAACAGTAGGAACAATACAGATCTATTACTGCATGAGAGTTAAAACATTTCCCAGAACTAGTTTTCTTTCATAACACACTAGCTTGTTACCTGAGATTATCTGAACAACGGTGACAAGCCAAGACGCTAGAAAGGTGTAGAGACTATCTATCCATGGGAAGAGAAAGAGCATATGCCGAAGGCCAGACAAAGCTAGGAATCAACAAAAGCTTTGGAGGAGCTGAGCCTGCACGTGCATTAATAGCAGCAAATATTACAAAATCTTGTTATTCTAAAGCTCTAGAATACAAAATTGCTGTATTTGTAGGACTGTATGTGGGGGATTTAAAGCATAATCCATCCATGTAACACTGTTATGTAACTGAAAAGAATTTAAAAACTCTTTATTTTGGGTTGTATTTATATTTCTTTTTAGTCTCTATCTTACTGTAGTGCCCAGAGATTACATTGTGTGTAATCACCTAATTGAGCAGTTGATGGAATTTCCATCGACTACTCGATTAATCGATACGGGGGAAAATTGCAGAGCCACAGCGGGGTTAGCTCTTGGCCCCGTGAGCTAACCCTGCTGTGGCTCTGCCTTTTAAATGTAGTAAGAACTGCTAGGCTCTTAGTACATTTAAAAGGCAGAGGCGCAGCGGGGAGACTGGATGTGAGCTGGGAATCAGCTGGTTCCTGGCTCCCTCCCGGTCCCAAATGCTGCATCTCTGCTTTTAAATGTATTAAGAGCTGCCAGGTTCTTAATACATTTTAAAAATAAGAAGCGCAGCTGGGGGGACTGGGACTGGGCGTGAGCTCTTAATACATTTAAAAAGCAGAGGCACAGCATCCGGGACCAGGCATGAGCCGGAACAGCTGACTCCCAGCTTGTGCCCAGTCTCTTGCTATGCCTCTGCCTCCCCTGCCCCCCGGAGCAGAGCCACATGAAGCAGCCTGCAGCAGACAGTCTGCCTCAGGTTTCTGCTGTAAGTGCCTCCCAGCCAGAGCCTGCCTCTGGCACACGAGCCCCTCCCTTTCCCAGCCCTCTGCCCCCTCCCGCACCCATACCCCCTCCCAGTTCTGGCCCCACAATCTCTGGCCCCAGATCACAACCCACTCCTACCCTAGGTCATATCCCAAAATCCTGCATCCCAGTCCCCTGCCCTAGGTCGTAACTCCCTCCCAGACCCCATTCTCCCTTCTGTACCCCAGTCCCTTACCTCACGCTCCCTTCTGCACCCAACCTCCATCCCAGATCCCACACTTCCTCCATTAATATCCTAGAAGAGCGCGGCTCTCGACCACTTTCCAAAATCTTGGCATGGCCCCCCCATTAAAAATTATTGCCCACCCTTGCTGTAGACAGAAATTTCCCAAAATAAGAATTAAACGGAAAAGAGAGAATAGATTGCATGCCCAATGTGATGGGGTGGTTGCCCTGAACTGGAAAATAAGGGGTTAAAACAGCCCTTAGGGTACATCTACACTGTGGGTTTTTTTCCAGGATACCAGAGATATCCTGGAAAAACACTGCCGCGTCCAGGGAACACGTTTGCTCTTCTGCTTTTTTTTGTGCAAATGCGCTCTTTCGGAAGCCCTGTCTTCCTCATTCCATGACGAAGAAGGGATCTTCCGAAAGAAGGGGATTTTCCAAAATTTGGCCCAGTGCAAATGGGACAAATTTCGGAAAAGCCTCTTCCGAAAAATATCGGAAAGCTGTAATGTAGACCCAGCCTTGGAGAGTGCTGTGGTGGCAGCCAATCAGAAAGAAGCAGAAGGCAACCAATCAGGGCTAGGCTAGGTTCTGTAAAAAGGGCTGCTGGGTAGAGGGAGTTTAGTGTCTCCATGTCTGGAGGAAGAACTCACTGTCTCTAGCTCTGTGGTACCATGGACAGAGCAGTGCTGGGGGAGGCCAGAGAGCCAGCAGGGTTTCAGCCTGTGTAACACTTGGGTCAGGCCCTCACAAAGGGAATTGACGAGGTGCTAAGGCTGCACAAGGCAGTCAGGGGAGAAACAGGCAGCGGGTCCCACCCCCTTGCCACTGATGAGAGTGGCCAATTCAGACTGCAGCTTGCCCTGGAGAGAGATGGCAAGAATCACTGAGGTGAGGTGTGGGATTGGGGCTGGGGGGAGAGAGCTGGCTCCCCAAAGGGGATGAACCCAGACCGTGAGCATCGCCAGAGGCAGTACTCAGGGAGAGGGGTGCTGCGGTCTGGGAGAGACGTGGTTCTGGCGTGCTGCAGGCAGTGAGGTAGGTAAAAGTAGAGGGTGCTCCAGCGCACGAAGGGGACAATCTGCAGGAGACGCTGCAGCAATGAGTCCCACCTGTCACCCCAGTAGTCCCATTTCCCAGTGGGACACAGCTTGGGAGGGGGAGTAAATAAGCCACAGAAGGGAAAAGGGTAAAGTTGCTAGCATTGCAGGAGAGACAGGAAGAAGAAAAACAGACGAAACAAAGCATGCTGATGATTTAATTTGTGTCAGTTCTTTGGAAAAAGGAATGGCCGTACAGCACCAAGCACAATGTACGATGGGCAGGAACCATCTCTCTCTCTGTCTCTATGACATCAGCACTTAACAAAGATATATTCATTATTCATTGGCTGGCCAGCAATACAATTGGTTGCATGGCAATAGTTCAAAGCAGCAGACTGCCCTAAATACGTGTGTGTGCGTGTATATAGATATATATCCCCAGTAGAAAATTCAAACAGCCAAACCAAAAGGGTTCTCCTGAGTCTAAGTGAACTGAATGGTCTGTTGGTCCTAAAGGGGATTTAATGGCATCAAGACAGTCCCTTGGCATAGGTAAGTGTCACTTTGTCTTTACAGTACTTGAAAAGGCTGTGTAAGGTCCCATATGAATAACACAAAATTAAAAAACTCCAGTCAGCAGCTGTTCAAGAAAATCTCTCCCATGCCAATACAAAACAAAACCAAAAGCCAGACAACCCCACTGCCCGTCCGACAGAGAGGTAGAGCGTTAGAGTTTAACATCCATTCTTTTTTATTCCAATTGTTACGTTCTCATCAGAAATCACTTCTGAGGCGTGACAAGACACACAGGAAGATGTGGGGGGAAGAAGGTGTCATGGATGAGTTTAACAAGGACTCTCTTACCGTGGCCCAGAATGCTAGCTCACAAACAATCCCAGGAAATACTGTTGCAGAAGGACCTATGAGGTTATAGGAAACAAATCTAAGCAGCAGTTTCAATCGTTAGGAGAGGCCGTACCCTGTTTTTCCAAAAGCTCCAGTTCTCTTGTCAAGTTTTGGGCCATGCCTTCTGTTGAAGTGGAATTGCTGGGAACTATTCCATGGGGTAGAACCTGAGGTTCTGAAGGTAGCTGATGCTAAAACTTGTTCCCCTAAGCTTACAGATTTTTAGAGAGTGCGAACTGCAACGTCAGCAGGGAGATTGTAAAACTGGTGTTCCTCCGGATTTCGGCAACCTCTCAGCACCTCCATCCTGTAGCCACATTCATGCTTTAAAACAGCAATTTCCGATGCTTGAGAGAAAGGCAAAACTCAGAAGTGTGTTCTGAACTGAGCTGACCTTAAATTAAAATATTCCTGGGCCAACTAACATATGAAGCCTCTTTATGTGCAGTTCACATACACACAGCAATGGTTTTCAAAACCTTAAAATGGAGTTTTACTTAACAGGACTCAGGCCAGGTCTACACTAAAAGGGAACGTTGAATCAAGATATACAACACCAGCTACGTTAATTGCGTAGCTGCAGTTGACATATCCTGTTTAAAGTTTCCCTGCCATCCCCACAGTGGGAGGCGGATGGGAACAAAGACTCCCATTGGCTTCCCTTACTCCTTGCAAAAGCAGGAGTGTGTGCCACTGATGGGGTGCTCTCTGAGTTTGATTTAGTGAATCTTAACTAGACTCACTAAATTGATCTCCGGAAGATTGATCGCGGCAGCGTCAATTTTCTGTCTAGTGAAGATGTGGCCTCAGACCTTTGGAGCAAAGTCCGCAATAGGCAGACTCCAAGCTTTGATTTCCTCTAAGTCAATTACATATCAAAGAGAAGAAAGATGGAACACAGCATGCAAAACCACACCTCAGAATAAACAAAGAAAAACTGAGGCTGAATATCAGGAAAATGGTCAGTGACGGGCACTAATGCAGTAATGGGAGCCTGGGTTGAGGAAGAATCCTGCAAAGCGACAGACTAGATGGTAACTTCAGAGGAAACGTTCTGTCCTTATTTCTGTGATTTTCTACACCTTCATTAGAGCACTGGAGAACTTTATTTCCCCTTTATACCTGAACTCTATTTTAACTTTTCAGAGAAGCAGGTAGGCTTTGCAAGACAAATCTTGACACTAACATCACAGCCACAGGTTCAAGGCATGATCCAAAACACATGAAAGTCTATTGATAGACTGCCCTTGATTTTTTAGGGGCTCTGGATCAGGTTCTTAAGTTTCCTGTTAGTTTATATGGCACAGCTATGTCCAATGCCATGGCATGTTTTAAGCTCCCTTCTCTTGGTCCAACAAATCTGATCTTTTATTTATGCTGAGGCCTTGTCTACACTAAATGGAAAATCACCAGTGCTGCGACCAATCTTCCAGAGTTCGATTTAGCGTGTCTAGTTAAGACTTGCTAAATCAAACTCAGAGGGCACTCCCACCAACATCCGGTACTCCTGCTTTTGCGAGTATTCTACGTATTTAATGTAGCTGGAGTTGCATACCTTTTAGCCAAGCTTCCGGGTCTAGTGTAGACCTGGCCTGAGAGGCTGGCTGCAAATTTAAACCCAGCTGATCACTCCTCCAACACAGAGTATATATTTCAGTGTGAAAATGAGCCAAGCAACAAAGAAACAGGTCAGGGCTGAATTGCTGGAGAGGCAGAACTTTGGGTCACTTGGTACAACCAAGAGTTTACGCTTAGAAGCAGTTCTAGCCCCAGTTAGGCTTAGCCCCATTCCTCCCCCTCTCCAGAAAGTAACTCTGTTATGGGATGTCACCTCTTGGAAGATGCTTCAGTACGCCAAGGTGAAGTAAATGATCAGTGCAACTCACAAACCTGACTCAGGGTTTATTTCTGAAATAAAAGCTCAGCTTGTTTTGTTTACCAGGGTTTGTCTTCTCAAGCTGGTACCATCTGTAAAACGCCCTTTTCTTCTGTTCACTCAGGTCTGACCCCTGCTGCAACAACCAATGAGAGATCCGGCTCTGGCTGATACCTACAAGAAAGAAAGAGAGAGAGAACTTAAATTTTGAATGGATTCAGTGCTAGTGAAAGGTACCCATTTACAGCAGTTATATAGATATTAGTCTAACAGAAAATGAAGTCATTCACCTACTAAGTCATATCTCACAAGCCAGAAACAAACCAAACCCAGCTGTCAGATGATAAACAGCTTCCACCTGGGTTGGATTAGACCCTATGACCTAAAGGTCAAAAGTTCCATCTTCTCAAGAGAAACTGAAATCAGACTTAGATAAAAATAGTAAGTGGAGAAAATTTCCCAGAAGCTGACTTTTTTTTTTTTTTTCCAGAGTGAAGTGGAATGCAAGCTCAGTGTCAACCTTCCATCCGTAACAGCGAAGGAGAAATTAATGAGGAGAAAACCCCAAACTAACCAGTTTCACAAGTAAAGAATCTGGTCTCAAAACCCACTAGGATGAGAATCGCTCAAGATCACCACAAGCTGTTCCAAGAACTTATTTAATTCAGTGTTGAAATGCCTGAAGCAGAGGACTAACAGAGGGAGCAAAAGAACTGTCAAGGCCCAGGGTGCATTCTCAAAAAAGCTGTTCAGCCATTAAAAAGGATTAACAACATACAAACTCTATTGGGAATTCAAAACAGCAAGGAGTCCTGTGGCACCTTAGAGACTAACAAAAATATAGAGAGTATCATGCGCTTTCATGGGCACAACACACTTCCTCAGATGAGTTGGAGTGGAAAAAAAGAGAATTCCAGTTCGAGGAGGTCTCACAATAACAATATATTGCTAAATACCACCTGTGCCAACATCTGTTTTAGTCATAACGCACAACATGAAGTTTGCTTTTCTCCTACCTCTCCCATCTTGAGATTTCATGATCACATTTAACTCACTGGGAATAGCCCCCTGGAGTTTTACACTTTTTCTAAGAAGGGAGTTTTCCCTAACATGTATTTTTGATAAACTTAAAAAACAACACTTTAGAGACTAACAAAACATGTAGATGGTATCATGAGCTTTCGTGGGCACAGCCCACTTCTTCAGATGTATCGGCTCCCCCATGAAGTTCATGTATTTTTGAGTTAAACAAAGATGCTAATAACATTTCCGAATAATTCAAATATCTCAGGGGAGCCAAACTGGTCAACTCCAAAAATCATAGTTACATTCCTAACTAGCCTGCATGATATGTACTTGTGAAGCTACTAAAGTTTCACTTGCCCTGCAGGAAAAAAGTGTTGGGTTTTGTTTTTTTTAAACAGGAGCTCATCTGTGTTCAGGAGAAATCCTCCTGCAAGGAGGTGGAAGAGAATTTGAAGGTGCCATGAGCGTATCCAGATAGGCTTGCTGCAGGCAAGATGGTGTGCTCTCATTGTATACCCGTTTTGTATTCCCAACCAACCTCTTCCAGGGACTGCCTCCACCCCAGAGATCAAAATTGGTGCAAACAGCTGAGGCAATCCCACTTAGCCATCTCCAGCGTTGAAATCATGTCAACTAGAAGCATGTGCTCAGTAAAGGAACCTGGTTCTGCAACCCATGTCCCCCGGTGCTCCATCACTGAGTGTACCAGGCTACTTTTTGAGCACAGTGGATTCGGCCTTAAGTGCTTAGCCCCTGAGATGTAGTTTCTCAGCAGATGAGTTTTGTCTGTTAATGGGTGAGAGTAGCATTCGTTTATTACCTGGCTTCTAGGCACTGTGGCCTGCTTTTAATTGCATAATAAAAAATATTGTCTGGCTAGCTCTTTGGTAACAAAGTAGGATATAAAAGCAAAGGGCTGGGTTCTACAGTCACTGACCCAGAACATATTTTTGTAATAATGCATTGGGAGCAGCCGTGCTTTGCCCGAAAGGCTGCATTGGCAACTTTTGACACTTGTTTTGTACAAAATGATGCAGATTACAACCACCTCATACACCAGTGCATCCTATGCACTAGCGGTACCCCAGACGAGTGGCTGTAGCACTAGAGTGAGCGCGAAGATGTCAAGGTTCCATTTCCAACCCCACTCATTGGGGGCCTTGGTACACCACTCAGCAGTCAATCTCCTTCTGTAAAACGGAGCTTTGGGCTGGATCCTGACATGCGCTGAGTGAAACGGTGCTCTCCTACACATTCTATGCACACAGCTGCAGGTTCCAGCACAATATTCCTTAGCTTGACTACAGCGTCCCAGGTCCTGCACTGCAGAATGTTGTGGGTTGTATCGCGTCCATATCAATACACTAACTCCAGGGAATCACTCCGGTGGAGAATCCGCGCCTTGTCTGTCCACTAGGGATGTAAAAGGCGAACTGGTTACCCAGTAAACCTTACCCGTATGCTTACCAAAGGGCCAGGCCGACTGAAGCAACCCCCTCGCCGCCTACGATGGGGCTGGGTTAGCCAGGCTGAAGTAACCCCCTGCCCGCCCATGGCACAGGATCAACACTCCACCTGCCTGCCCATGGCTGGAGCAGCCTCCTGCCTGCAGTGGGCTGGCAGGCAGGACCCTGACTGCAGGGCCCCTGCCTACAGCAACCCCCACTGCAGGACCCCAGCTGCTGTGCACCAGCCCTCAGTTAACCGGTTAAATAACCACAAGTCTCTGTGGTTTCCCCAACACCCACATCCATTCCATCTGCAGCCCATACAAAATGCAGCTGCTAATATCGTCCTCCTTGCTCAATGGTTTGATCAGTTTTGGAGTTCTCCACTGGTTGCCCTTTTTCTACCACATTGCTGTCAAACAGCTTGTGATCACTTTCCTCCCTGATGCTTCACCTGATTCTGTCCAATTAGATTGGATGCTATCTGGGGTAAGTATTGTAATTTCCACTCTTAGAAAAATGCTAGCAAATTTTGGATGCTAATGACAATTAAATAATATTCTGTATTTCTGAAATGCTAATTAAGGTTACTGGAAATTATTTCCTCTGTGAAATACACAAATTTGACTTGTCAATTTTTATTGTTTGACTCAATGCTGTGCATACTCACAAAGCAAGAGATGGTTCCTGTCTCAAAGGAGCCTATTTGTAGCCTAACTAGACAAGTATTCTTATACTCATTTTACAATTGGGACACTGAGGCAGGGAACGTGTGACTTGCCCAACATAACACACAAAGTCAGTGACAGAGCAAGGAACAGAATCTAGATCTTTTTAGTCCCAATGTAGGTCCTTATCCACCACTTATCCTCCTGTTATTTATTTCTGATGACGTCCTAATAGCAAAAAAGCTAAACAAATAATTTAAAAGATAGAATCATAGAATCATAGAATAATAGGACTGGAAGGGACCTCGAGAGGTCATCGAGTCCAGCCTCCCACCCTCAAGGCAGGACCAAGCTCTGTCTACACCATCCCTGACAGATGTCTATCTAACCTGTTCTTAAATATCTCCAGAGAGGGAGATTCCACCACCTCCCTTGGCAATTTATTCCAGATGATATGATTGTGATACCATTTCTAGTTCCTACAAATTTGGTTTTCTACAGTGGACTCCCCAGAGCACAGGGAAAGGGATGCTTCTCAATTGAACAGCCGTACCATCCAGTGACATCACTTCCAATCCTGCTACTTCAGGAAATCACGCCGGCATGAAAAAACTGCTGCCAAAGGCAAATTCACAAAGCTAATTAACTGGAGTATTTAAAATCCAGCTCGCTGGAAGAAAAAAATAGACTCTCAGACTGACCAATGGATCACGAGAAAGACCTTGCTCCTTTGTTCTCCGGGCCAACAAGAAGCCAGGAGTACATTATGAGGGCACCTCGCTTTGCCATGGAAAATGCAGGGGGGAGGGAGAGGAGAGAAAGTCACAACAGAGACATTGCAAATTCTGATAAGTTTGACATTTTAATGAATATTTGTCAATCACCTGCAATTCTGCCTCCTTCCTGCACCTCTCCACGCTCCCACTTTGTCGCCAACCTTTCTTTCTGCCAGGTCTTTTCCCAGACACATTGCTAATGGCAGGATCCTGTTCAAAGCTGATGGCAATCCAGACATTCTTCCCCAGATTGCACTGCTCTTTGGGCCACACCCCTCAAGCAGATGTTTGGGGAGCAATTTTCCCTCCCACATGGCAAAAAGGCAGCAAAAACCAATGCAAGAGAAGGCAGGCAGAGAGACTTGCTCCTCTGGTGTGTTCAGTACATATCTGCTCACAACCCTGAATGCTACTGCTCATTTTTGTCTCTTCCTCTCACAGGTAGGCGCAGTCATCCTCTGCCGCTGAAATGTGTATTTTTTCAAAAAATGTTCCTTTTTGAACCGAAAAAGGTGTCAGGGTTTAAGCAGTATGTTGCTGAGGCTCAAACTATTTTTTTTTTAAACTTTCATCAGTGACACAGCAAGCCCAGAGGTGCCAGTGCTCAGCTCTGGCACAAATCAAGCATTGGATGGGGAGGCAAAATTAACTGATTATGCCCTTACTGTCTTTGTAATAATGAGTCTTGAATTCGTACACCATGGGTACGTCTAAACTACATGGCTCTGTCGACAGAGCCATGTAGATTAGTTTACTCGAAAAAGAGAAATGAAGCGGCGATTTGAATAATCGCAGCGTCGTTTAAATCAAAATGGCCGCAGCGCTGTGCAGATCAGCTGTTTGTCAGCACAGCGCGGCAGTCTAGCCGGGGATCTGCCAACCCCAGAACCCTTCATCGGCAGATCCTGTAAGCCTCATTTCACAGGCAGCGAACATTTTGATTTAAATGAAGCGGCAATTATTTAAATTGCCATTTCATTTCCCTTTGCCGTCCTGCCTAACTTACATGGCTCTGTCGATGGAGCCGTGTAGTTTAGACACACCCCATATGCCTCCAAGGAACATCAATCAACTTGGATCGGGTGCAAGGTTTGTTTGCAGGAAAGGTGCAAAGATCAAAAGCATGTTAAAATAAATCCTCCCTTGTGTCGCCATCAACACCAAATATTTAAAAAACCCATTTCTTACCCACTGATGCTGGCCAATGTCTTTTCCATTCCACTCGGCGTGGACAATGGAACTACCCTAGTCAGTTTCTTTGTCTTTATGCTTGGTTTAGCTTGTGCGCTGTTCAGTGCTGCCACGTTTGGCTTCCCAAAACTGAGTGGATGTTGATGATTCGTGCATGGTGCTGTACGTACCCTAAGAGATGGGTCTGTTTTCAAGAGTTTATCATCTAAATTGGAGTGCGCAAACTACAGCCCCTTGGACCTTTGAATCCAGCCCCCATTCGCCTGCTGGTTCAGAGCATGCCCCACTCTGGTGCCTCAGCCAGGGAGCAGGGTTGACCGCTTGCCTTGCCCCGCTCTGGGCGTGCAGTAGCTCCGCGCAAATCTCCAATGCAGGGCAGCCGGGGCCGCCGCATGCTGCTCCTGCCCTAAGCACTAGCTCTGATGCTCCCTCTGGCTGGGGACTGTGGCCACAGGGGTGGAGGAGGTGGCGCCTGCAAACGGGACAGTGAGTGCCGGGGGAGGAAGGACGGCTGGTTCAAGGAGCCACTTCAGGTAAGTGCCACCTGAATCCTGCACCCCTGAACCCCTCCCTCCAGTGTCCCATCTTATTGCTCTACAAACCCTTCAATCCCAGTCTGGCACACCTTCCTGCACCCCAAACCTCTCATTCCCAACGCCACCCCAATGTCTGTACGCCCATCTGGAGCCTCCTCCCCGCTCCAAGCCCGCCAGATCCCTCCATCTCAACCCAGAGCACCCTCCTGCACCACAAACCCCTCATTTCCAGCCCCCGAGTCTGCATCCTTAGTCAGAGCCCACCCCACCATGCACCCCAATCCTCTGCACCATCCAAGAGCCCCCTCCCACCCTCAAAACCCCTGGATCCCAGCCCAGAGCACCCTCTCACACCCTGAGCTCCTCATTTCTGACCCCCCCATAGCCCTCCCCTCCTCCTACATCCCTGTTTTGTGAGCACTCATTGCCCTTCTTACAATTTTCATACAGACATGTGGCCCTCAAGCCAAATTTGCCCACCCCTGATGCAAATAGTCAAGAGAGTCTAGCTGGGTCAGATAAGCCATAGGCAAGTAGAACGAACAGAATGCCTGTTGACAAAAGCCATGCTAGAAAAACCCTTTTCATAATATATTTTTGAAATAAATGAACTGATGTCCTAAGAGAGAGGACGGCTGGGTGGCGAGGAGACCTAGGTTCAAGTCCCTGCTCTGCCACGGATTTCCTATGGGACTGTGGGTAAGTTACTTAATCCCTGTCCTACAGTTCCCCAGCTACAATGGGGATATTAGCAGCACCTTGCCTCACCATCTGTTAGGTGCTTAGATACTTTCATGGCCCCCGTTAAACATGTACATAGCACAGGTGTTAGGTTTCATAACCCTACACTTAAACTCTGCCCCTAGCCACTAAAAAAAACAAATTCAAACCTTACATTATAGTCCTAAACAAGGCAGCTTCCTTTAGTCAGAGCGAAGAACACTCATTGCTATACTGGAGGAGATCTCAAACTTATTTCTTTGCTGAACCCCCGAGAAAATATTTCAGGCCATGATGACCCTCCACTTACTGGGCTGCTGATGGCAGCAGTGTTGCCTTCAGAGCTGGGCACCTGGCCAGCAGACACTGCTCTTGCATGCCACCCCCCAATCATCTTGTGACCCCTTTATGGGTTGGGATTCCCAGTTTGAGATACGCTGCTTTGGTTTCTGTAACCACTTGGGTCAGGGCTGTGCTTATCACAACAGATTAAGCCGTGTCACTCTCTGTTGTTGTTAACGGGGACTTGGCATCTCACTCCCCACATCTCACTCCCTATCCTTGAAGGGAATAAAGCTGCAACTATGTTAAAGGAGCTCCAAACAGCAAGATGGGAA